GGGTGACGCGTCACCCGGATAACCCGCTGGACATAGCAGTGACACGTCTGGCTGATCTGGAGCGCAACATCGAGAGAAGGTACCTGAGGAGCCCCTTAGGTACCACCATTCAGATCAGGCTGGATAATGTGGGTACGGTCACTGTCCCTGCCCCCGCCCCATCCACTAGTGCTGACAGGGAAGGGTAGGTCATTTCTCCAACCAAAGCTCCCCACTCTCCCACTAAGACCCTTTCCTGTCTTCTGTGTGTGCTTTGTGTTTCCCATATTATCAAAAGAAGTGAGGGTCTTTGCTGCTTTCACAGCAGGTTTGTTTGGTGGCTTGTGGCATTTTTTCTTTTTTTCTTTGGTCTTGTGCAATTTTTAGGGAGGGTGGTGGGGGGCTCCCCTTTCCTGTACAGTCATTGTTTACTGGCATCTTTTGCTTTTCTGCAGTCATCTGCATGGTGTTTTGCATCAGTAACCTTGGTTGTGGGCACACTCATGGCTCCCACTCTAAAATATACCCTGGTTCTACTCCTTCACTCTTTCTGCATGAACGTTCGCCTAACATGACAGAATCGGTGTGTGCCTTTCCTCCAGTGCCCTACACCCCCCCAAAATCCTCATGCCTGTCTCTGCACAGCTGGAGCTCTTTATGGTCGGCTGTCTTGTTGGCAGCTGGTTCAGCTGATCAGTTTACTGCTTTGTGTGTGTGTGTGTGTGACTTCACCCATATATTGACATATGTGTGTGTATTTTCTTTTTTCCCATCATCATCCCATCCTTCCACATTATCTTCTCTCAGTGGCGAGGAGGAGGTGGCCCACGGTATGAAGGTGTGGAGGAAGGCCCTGAGCGAAGTGCGCAGTGCTGCCCAGTTGGCCATGTGCATCCAGCAACTGCAGAAGTCCATCGCCTGGGAGAGGTCCATCATGAAAGTGGTGAGTAGCAGATAAAAAAATGACCACAATATGAATATTTCCTCCTCTTTAATTGAAATAATGATTGCCCTTGTTCTGTAGTACTGTCAGATGTGCAGGAAGGGCGATAATGAGGACCTGCTCCTGCTGTGTGATGGCTGTGACAAAGGCTGCCACACTTACTGTCACAAGCCCAAGATCACCAGTATCCCAGAGGGAGACTGGTACTGCCCGGCCTGCATATCCAAGGTATCAGAGCCTTAAATAATGAATTTTCATCTGCATTCACTCAAAAATACTATTTCATGCTCAAGAATTTCTTTCTTTGAATTATATTCGGGCTTTTTAGGCTGTTTTGCATATGGAGGGAGATGAGATGAAATAAGAGTCATGTCACCAGGAGCTCAAAGAATTCTGAGTCTGAGATTTTGCATTTTTATTTTCCTCTCAACTCAATGGAATTGGCATTAAGCCCAATAAGTGACAATAAAAGTTTCCATTCATATTCATGCTCCAGTAATCTGGACAACAACAGATTTTATTGCAAGCTTTACAAGAATGTTTTTATGTGGATGTGGTCCGGGAACAACTAAATGATGAGTGATGTAAGACATAACAAATTGATCTGCTATTTAAGGAAAAGCAAATATCAGTATCTATAATATCAGTGGGGTGCTGCACTCTATCTGTTTGAGTTGCCCCAGACCATAATGGATTGTTTACTCTGCAGGCGAGTGGTCCTTCCCCCAAAAACAAAAAGCCTCCAAGCAAACCAGCAGCTTCGGGCGGAGGAGGCGTCAAGAAAGGCGGAGAAGCGAAGAAGAACGGGAAGCAGACTGGCAACGGGGAAGTATCGGAGGAGGACTCTGCGAGCGCCAGCAGCACGCCCAAGAAAGTGGCAAAAGACACCAACAGGAAGAGGAAAACGGAGGAGGCCTCACCTGCTCTGCCAGCAGCCAATCAGGAGAGCCCTGTGTGTGTAAAGAGAGCCAAGACAGCTAGAGACAACAACAGGGACCTGGGATTATGCAGGTATGTGCCCCCGACCTGCTCACACTTGTCTCTCTGTTGAATTCTTCATTTATTCATCACCTTCTTCGAAACAGTCCGACAGCAGCTGCAGGCGACTGTATCTGCAGGGAGATAATGAGTCTTCATCAGTAAATAAGATGCTATTGCGGGTTTTCTTTGACAGTTTTTCACACTGTGATATTTAAAGGGTTTTTCTCTTACACATAAAATTCTTGTCTGTGTGTGTTTGTGCTCATCAGGGTACTCCTTGCTGAGCTGGAGCGGCATCAGGATGCATGGCCTTTCCTCACACCCGTCAACCTGAAATCAGTCCCTGGCTACAAGAAGGTCATCAAGAAACCAATGGACTTCTCCACCATACGTGAGAAGCTTGTGAGCAGCCAGTGAGTTTCCGATCGCCTCCGTTTGTTCTGTTTTTACAGCTGAAATCCTTCAGGGTTTAAAAGTAGAATTACAAAATTCAGAGACGGAAATGTTATTCAGGAAATGATTTATACAAGTTTTTTTTATTTCAGGTATCAAAATCTGGAGACTTTCATCATCGATGTCAACTTGGTCTTTGACAACTGCGAAAAATTCAATGAAGACAATTCAGACATTGGCCGAGCCGGTCATAACATGAGGAAGTTCTTCGAGAAGCGCTGGACTGAGCTTCTGAAACAAACAAACTAAACAAACTGTTCAGATTCTCCCCATAAACCCAATAACGTTTCAAATCGGAGCACCAGGTTTTACTTTTGTTTTTATTCCCTGATGGAGATATGCGGCTTTGCAGGATGGAAGAAGAAATCAAATCCTTAATAAGGAACCCATGGTGTTCTTCTTAGGAGAGATGTCACCTTGAAAAAAAAAAAAAGTAATTACATGAGGTGCGCTGGATTTATTACAACAGGGATAAAAGCCCCAAAGAGTCCCAGAGAAATGGGGTGTCGTAGTGCAATACCATTCCCTGTCTCAGAACACTGCACTGAATGAATCCTCAACTGTCACTGATGTGTCTGCGCTAGAATACTTTCCACTACTTGTAAATATTCTTTTGTTATTTAATCGTATTATAGTGAATGTATTTAATTTTGTAATAATTATTTATGAATCAAGGTCCACTTCATTTTCTATGAAAAGGAAGAGTCAGCTGAACTGCTTTGAATTTAAAAAAAAAAAAAAAAAAGGAATGTGTCTTTGTGTTGTAATTTTTCTCCCAAATATCAAACAAAGCCAAGAAAAAAAACCTGTTTACACTGTTCAGTGCTTTGGGGCATCAGAATACTGTATTCATTTGTTCAAACTGTAAAACTGCATTTATTTACAGGAACGGCAGAGGAACAGTTGGTGACTCATGTGTATATACTGTTTATTAATGTCAATATTATGTCTTGTTTGGAACGATGTGTAAAAATTGTTTAAGAATATTAAGATATTGTTTATGCCTTAGAATGATTGTAGCATTCTATTTTAGTGAACGTGATGAAAACATTATCATAAATATTGTTTGTACAGTATATACATATCCTCTGCAAACACTGTGGTATCCTTAATCTTGGTAGTGCCTACCCTTCCAACAGGGGCATGTAGGGGATGTTATTGTTTTTTAGTTTTCATTCTTATGACAACATTATGTTTTTCTTTTTTTATATGATTTCAATCCAACAAGGCCTCCGAAGTTGGACAGTGACACAGAAATCATTCCTCACCATAGCAGAAAAAAAGGAGCAACAAGCATTCAGTTATGCTTCCATGACGCATTTCCTCGTAATCTGCCACAATACAGAGGACCTAAGGCCATTTGTAACCACTGTGTTGAACCTTGCTGTGTGTTGTGGCCTGATGGAGGCAGCTAGATTTTTTTGTACCCAAGTCAAGAGTACTTGAAGTTACTTTATTTAAGATATTGTGGAATAAAAGTATCATTCTTTTGTAGGAGCTTTATTTTTCACTAGTGTGTGGCACGGACCTATTAAAAGGATGTTTTTCAACGTAAATGACTCACACTTGTTTTATTTCAATCACCAGCTTGTCAATGGATCAAAATCAATTTTGAATGATTGATAAACTCATCACTGCACCTTTTCCATGCATTTATGAACACCAGCTGACTGAGTTCAGTTTAAAGCATTAGACTTTTGTGAAAGGTCAGGTTTTTAGAATTCGTAAAAAGTTTTATTATTGTTAATTACGTTTGATTAAAATAATAAGTTCACATGTCATTTTGGAAGTAATGGCAGCCAAGTTGAAATTTCTATGGATTTCAAAGTCAGTGAAATCTCAGTTGCAGCCAAGTCATGAACAAATAATAATAGATGAAATGAGAAAGTAAAATAGAAATGAATCAGATCAAATTAACTACATACAGGTCTTAGTTTCTACAGTTGTCAGTGTTTCAGGAAATAATCTAAGTAGAACACAAAGACACTCGAGTTTCATTTCTCTTATAGATTCACCAGTGTTCAGGGAATTTTGCAAATTAAATTGATGAAAGGTGACATTTTTCTTTTTCTTGACAGATGAAAAACAAAATAAAGTCGTGAAGTTGACAAAGTTCCCAGAAACACGTGGGGTAAACACAATTAGAATTGTGAAATAGACAAATAAAACTAAATACGTAAAAAAAATTCACCTAATGTATATAAAGATATTTTTTAGAAGAACATGTAGACAGTAAAGCTTATTTTCTTTTTAACACATTTACTGGGGTGTTTGGGGAATTCCGTGAATGAGGAAATCTGATGAAAGGCGACATTTTTCTTTTTCTTTACAGATGTAAAAAAAAATGTTTTAATGTGAATTGAAGTTTGACAATGTTCCCAGATACACAATTATAATAATATAATTAAATTAAATCCAAATGTAAAACTGACAAACAAATACAAAAACTAAATACAAGTAATAAAAATACATACATACAGTATATACAAATATTTCAGTGTAAGTAGAACTTAAAGATTGTTGGCATGTTTCTAGAATCAGACACACGTGGGTTAAAAACACAATTAGAAAAGTCATTAAATTAAAAATGCAAATGAATAAATACATGAAATGAAAACGTCCTGGTGACGTCAGAGGCATTACGTCACGATCAGCTGCTCAAGTAGGAAGTAAACAAACCTGGAGCGAGCGGACGAGTGGACGGGAGAAGAGAAGCTGCTGCGGTGAGATGTCGCTGGACTCAAAGCCTCGTTTCTCTTCGTTTACAGCCTCAGTTTGTTGGTTCGTTTGTTTCCGACACGGTTTGTTTCCGCTGAGGTGAAAATATTTCGTCCCGTCGTCTCTGAAGCGTCGCTAGCTTAGCATGTAGCTACAGGACCTGCAGCCTCTGTGAGGCTTCAGTTTGTTAAAGTTCAGTCAGTGAAGAACAAAATGCACATTTCAAACTAAATCAGATGGAGGCGAGAAAAACAAGGACAGCTACTCGAACGTTGAACATTTGAAAACTCTGTGTTTTTTTATTCATCGCTTTAAATCTGTAGATTCGTTTTTTGAGTAATCAAATGTCAAATGTGTGTTTAGGATATCAGACATTCGTGAGACTAATTCCACAGGGTAACTCACATATGTTCTTATATTGTCTATGTATTTATTTATTTTTCTCTTTCACTACTGTGACCAGATCCGGATATTTGAGAAGCTGCCACCAGCAAATGTTTTACACTTTACTTAATAAAATGACTAAACTATTCTTTAATGAGTCCATGAAATGAGTTACCAGTTCATTTCCTGTTGATCGACCGACTGCTGCTGCTCAAACTGTAATATTATGTTATTTCCTTCAGACCGACGGTGGTGAAGCTGTAAACTGAATTCATTGAGATTTGACTCCCTGAAGATCTGACAACTTAAAGCAAAAAAGATTTAACATTTAACTTATTAAAATCGATAAAAACAGACAGTGACAGACAGGCCAGTTTTCTCAATGTTTGAATATATATTTTCATTCAGTCACTTAAACACCAAGAAGCAGTTTATAATATTAGTTTTTCGAATGTCTTCATAATGAATGACTTAAAATGTGTTTTGTATTTGAAAGTTAGTGAACAATTAGTTTTATATCAGTGAACTTTCAGCTCGTTCTGCTGTGTGGGGTTAATCATCGACATTAATGGCCCCTGTGGGACAGATGGAGGTTGTTAGGAAACAAAACCTGTCATTGTGGAAATCTAGGATGTTTCTTTAGGCTCCAGCAGGAAGATTAGTCGTTTGATTTCTGTTTCTCCTTAAGATGTAAAACTTGAAATACTCTCACAGTTTATCTTTCGGGAATTGAGACCTGACTATGTTGGTTTAACAGTCATGGGACTTCACTTAAGACGTAACGACAGCTTTTGTTGTTGAGCCCACAGTGTAAACCCCTCAGGGATAAATACAGTAAGAATTATCTCCTCTAAATGTTTAGTGAATAAGGAATCAGCTGCTGTGATCTTTTTTTTTTGTATTCAACACCCTTGTCTGTATAGAATTGTTTGAATATACTTGTTCTCTCTATGGAAACCTCAGGGCCGGCTCTCCAAATGACGTCTCTGATTTGCACTCTACATGACCATCGGGACGATGTCAACTGGTGTGCCTTCTCAGCCAAACTGCTGGCCACGTGTTCTGGGGACAAAACTCTCAGGATATACAGCACCAGTGACTTCTCAGAGCTGCCCTTCTCACCGCTGTCAGGACATGGCTACAGCGTCCACTGCTGCTGCTTCAGCCCCTGCGGACAGTTCCTCGCCTCGTGCTCGACCGACTCTACCGCTGTGGTCTGGTCCATGGTCACCGGAGAGATCGAGGCCATCATGGAGCATCCGGGTCGCAGCCCTGTGAGGATCTGTGCGCTCTCTCCTGACTCTGCCCACCTGGTCACTGGTGCATCTGATGGGACTCTGGCCCTGTGGGATTTCCCGTCCAAACAGCTGCGCAGGTAAATGATTCATATGCAAAATATGCAAAATGCCAAACATTCCCTATTTGCAGTCTCTGAAATTTAGAGCATTTGCTTCTTTTGTTTGTTTTACATCAGTATACATTTAATATCTCATATCTATCTATATAAAAATCTGTGTGATGGGAATTTTCACTACTTTCTGACATTGTAGAGAGAAAAAAATAATAATTTTATTGTGAAATTGTCAAATTAGCCAAAAAAGAAAATAAGAGTTGAGCCTGTTACACGTTTTCCCATCATTAAGTAGATAATGCAGGTAACGCACTTTGAAACCATCCTTTTCAAATTTGGTGTCCATTTATTTTATCTTTAAAAACACATCAAGAAAAATGTGCTCATCCCAGTATCTCTCTCTCTCTGTTTTGTTTTTATTTGATTTAAATGTGTCTCAGGTTTTGACCATTGGTCACATAAAACTATTCATTTGAAGCACATGACATCCTCCATATCCCAATCGATCTGAAAATACTAATACAACCACATAAATAGAACTTGAATTAAGAAGATAATCATATTTTTCTTTAATATATAAACATACATGCAAATCGTTTCTGCATCCTTTATTCTGTAAAACTGTAATCAAATAAATATACATATAGATATGTCTGTGAAAGGCTTATATTAGATATCAGGCATTGAATGAATCAGTCAGGCCCTATTTATTAATAATCATCTGTTTGCTGCAGGCTTACTATTCATACAGATATAGAGTGGACTATGAAACAGATCAGACCTCAGTGTAAACACCTGTCATCTCAGCTCCATGTTTTATTGTTCTTGAACAATGACGATGAGCTGAACTGAAAACTGAGCCGTCTGCTGCTGTTGGTTGTGTTTGTGAAGGACCGGAGCCGTGAGCGACACAACAATGGTGGCCTGCTCCTTCAGCCCCTGCAGTCAGGTGTTCATGACCGGCTCCACCTACGGAGACCTGCGTCTGTGGGACCTGAGCATGAACCAACTCCACGCAGAGAAGAACGCCCACGACCTGGGGGTCACCTGCTGCACGTTTGCTCCTGACGTCCTCAGTGGTGAGAAGAACCATCATGAGGATAAAGAAATGATTAAATGAAATCAGAATGATCAATGATGAAGATAATATATATTTTTTGATACATTTCCTCTATGTCTTTTCCACTAGTTGAATAGTTTGTGATTTGTTTGGTTTGATATATTTGTTTGTCTTTGTGTTGTAGGAGGTCAAGTTGTGCAGTTTCGGCTGGCGTCCTGTGGCCAAGACAATCACCTGAAGATCTGGGCCATTAACAAGTTCAGCTCTGGAGGTACATTATTAATTGTATGATTCTTTTGATTCTTTTGATTGTTTTTATTAAGTCCTTGTTGTGTTGCTTTTTCTTATGATCTCTTTCTTTTGTGTTTATCTGCTGATTGTGAATGTCTCCTGTTGTCTGGTCTCTCTTAAAAGAGTTGAAGATAAATAAGAAATAATTAGAAAGAAAAAGAATAATTATAAATCTTAACATCAGGGGATCATTTGAAAAATATATATTTCTATATATACAGTATATATATATGTTTATATGTGTTTCAAATGATTCTCTCTGTTGTTGTAATATTACACTTATCAGCACTTATCCATCAAGTCAAATCACTGTTGCTCTCAAAGAAAGTACATTTTATTTTTATCTAGATTAGCTGCCAGCACAAGCCCTTTTTCTGTTTCCATGTTATTATTTATTACTGTGAAGTTTTTGTATCCGTCATCATATTTAGCAGATTAAATCTTCTCATTTGTCTGTATTCACTTATTTCCCTCCTTGTTTTCTGACCTTTTTCAAGACCCTTTTTTAATCTTTTTTATATCTCGTGGGACAGTCCAAACCTTTGTCCCGAAAACAGTCCTACCCATATAATGTTTTATTTAGTGCGACTGTTTGACTTGTCTGAGGATGTAACTTTAGTTGTTTCTCTTGTAGCCTGTAAGATGCAGCTCCTGCACACATTCACTGGCCAGTCGGCTCCAGTCCTCTCCTGTGCGTACTCCTCAGATGGGCAGCTGCTTGCGTCTGGGTAAGACTATAAATTCTATTATATATTTAACATGTTTTCACTTGTCGTCCATTTTCTAAATGTCTTGTTAACAACTGAATTTAAGTAATAATATAATACCTCAGTAACTGACAGAGGCAAAATGTTGTGTGTCTGTATGTCTTGTATCTGTCTTCAACACACCTTAAAAATATTTTGCCATAAGCTGAATCTATATTTTACATCAGTCTCTTGATACTAAAAACATTTGTATCCAAGTTTTGATCTATTTAGGATCAAGAGGTCAATGTACATTATTTTTGCCTGGACTTGTAAGTAGGCCAGTCTCAACTCAAGCATAAACATGCAGTACTACAGTCAAGCCACTTGGGGGAGACATAGAATGTTCTATTCCTCAGAATGTGTGTATGAACATCCTGTGCCATATTTATAGTTGGTTTATTAAAACATTTGTTGTAGCTACAATTCTATCTCATTGTTTCTTCCAGCTCTGTGGACAAAACTGTTACAGTCTATGATGCAGTAAGTGATTTTCCCTTTTACAGATTAACTCAGTCGTTACAGACGCTAGTTATTTACTGCATTTTCAAAATGTTCACATTTGTTTTTCTGTTTGCAGGCGAACGCAGTTTTGCTTTACACGCTGAACCAGCACGAGAGGTGAATATTCACTTTACCTTTTACGTTTTACCAGAAATACAATTTCAAAATTAAACTATTTTTAGGATCTTAAATTCCACAGATAACTGGACATAATTTTGTTTTCAGACAGTTCTATTTTACAAAAGATGTAATGTCATGTAAAAGATGTAATAAATGTAAATGAGCTCAACATGCAACCACTCATTCACAACAGGATGTCAGTCACAGAGAGGGCTGAGTTACAGAAAGCCAGAACCGTCAATTTATTGTGATGCAGCGTGTTCACCAAACATTCACTCTACATCTTAAGAGCAAATATAGGACCGTTCTCACTGCACCCCCCCCACACATACACGAACATGTGAGCTACAGCTGAACGATCACACGTACGAGCTAATAATACGTCCATCCAGCCACCTGTGACTGAAAGGCAGCGAACTCGCTTCCTCTCATGGAAGTCATTTTGGAAGAAAAAAAATCACAAAACTGAAATGGAAATAGAGGAGACGGCAGAAAGTGGATAAATGGCGTAAAAAAGTGAATCACAGCACTTGACAAAATGCCTCCAGGAAACTCGACTTGACTTCAGACAAGCTGATGATCCGACAGTGTGGAAGTATCCAGAGGTTAGGTTACTGCGTGTCTTCCTCTTAGTTTATATTTCAGAGACAGAGCTTTTCCTCGTTACCTTTCCCGTGACTTTGTGAAAATTCAGTTTTTATCCTTGTTTAAATTTCAGTGCAGCCTTTTGACGTGGTAACCCCTCAGTGAACTGACCCTCTGATGGAGAACAGCTCCATCACCGCCACATATTAAGGTCTGGCATCACCACCTTTTAACCCTGGAGCTGAATGGCAGCCTCACATCCTGAGGCTCAGGACTAAGATTTCATATTCAGATGTTTCAAAAACATCACATGAAACCTTTTTTTTGCCTTTCAGTTCTTCTACTCTGTCTTTTTTATGCTGATGCACCAGTGACAGCCAGTGGCCAGAGGCGTTATGTCTTTGGGTTATCTGTTCATCCATATGTCTGTCATAATCTTGTGAACACGATATTTCAAGAACGCCTAGAGGGAATTTCTTCACATTTGGTTCCTACTTTCATTTGGACTCAAAGATAAATTGAATAAATGTTAGAGGTCAAAGATCAAGGTCACCGTGATCTCACAAAACCCCCTTTTGCCTTGGGAATGCATTATCTCAGAAACCCGTTCATTAATTTAGACTCACATATTAAGTTATTAGATTCAGGTGGTCAAAGGTCAAGGTCACAATACACGTTTTGCCTCCCTGAACATCTCAAATGTGCCTTTAGTAAATTTCTTTAATTTGCTTTACCAGTTTTTTTTTTTTTAAGTCCTCTAAGTCTTTTTTATGTTGCTACACAGCCAGCCATTAACATTCAGGTGTTGACTGTCATCTGCTGCAGGTACGTGACAGCGTGTTGCTTCTCTCCAACGTCACCACTAATTGCCACAGGATCCATGGATAAGACTGTAAACATCTGGAGGCTGGAGGACAGATGCAGCGGCCACGGTGGGAGAAACACGAACGCACAAACAGATACACTGAAATAGACTAGAATCAATACTCGGGTGATAAATGACATCTTGTTTTGTCTTGTAATCTGTTTCTGTGGTGGCCTCCTCTGAACATTCTGTCCAATGGAAAGGAGGGAAGACGCTGCCTGGTTAGTTTTCTTTTTTCTTTTAAATACTGTTTTAACACTTGAATTAAAGGGGTGGTGGGGTAGATGAAAAGATAGATGGAGGGAGAGAGGGATAAATGGAGATATAGGTATGTAGAGGGTTGCATAGATGGGGGGATGGATAAGGAGGATTGGATAGATGGAGAGATAGATAGATAGACAGACAGACAGTTAGAAGATTAGATGGACAGATAGATGTTAGCTAGATAGATAGAGGGATAGATAGATGGATATGGAGAGATGATCGATGGATAGATAGACAGATAGATGGATAGATCGATATGGAGGAATTGATAGATGACAGAGGATAGATGGATAGATAGACAGGTAGAAAGACAGATGAATAGATAGACAGATAGATAGATAAATGGATAGATACTTCATCACGTGTTGTTTCTTCTTGGAGTGGAGGACACAGGTGTTGTGTACAGAAGTGCTCTCTTCACTCTCCTCTTCATTCTCATGTGCTGCAGGTTTGCATTGCGTTGCTTAGGTTACAGTTACTTATCCCTTGTTTTTGTGTTTCAGAGGAACCTGCTCTCGCATCACATGAAGGTAGGAAAAAATGTGCCTGTGTCGTATATTACAGTGAAGCAAATGAAGAATCTGTAAATGAGACACCTCTCTTCAGACGCTGTTTTCACAATCAGTAATGGTCTCATGTTTCTATCTATAACTCACAAGCTCCTTTTCACCTTCCAGTGTCATCTCGTGTCAATGACAATGACGATGACTCCTCAGACAGACATGTATTCATATTCATTTATTCTGGGCCCATAATCAATAATTAGTCAGCAGCATTCCAGGACGGTCTTGCACGCAGAATATTTGGCCATTTTTCAAAAAGCTCTGCAGCTGTCAAAGCACTGACCTTCTCGCTTCGACTCAATCTCTCAGGGAAAACCTCAGCCGGCCAATCGAAACTGCTGGTCGCCGATTGGTCAGAGGGGGATGTGTCAGAGTGGTTGGTGGAGGAGGGCCTCTCGGGATTGGTGGACAAATTCAGGGCCAACAACATAGATGGGACAGAGCTGCTCAGTCTCACCAAGGAAACGCTGGCGTCAGAGCTGCTCATAGGTGAGGAAGAGAAACGTCGCACACACGCAGCTCGGTGAATGAGAGGACACTCGTTCTCTCACAGCCCTGATGCTTCCTTTCTGTTTGAAATGTAATGATATAAAACCAGTATCAGGGGAATTACACGGCTGCTGTCCTGTGACAATGAACAGGGGTGGATTAGGATGTTTCAACCTATTTGCACGGATGAAACAAGACACGTTAAATTCAAGTAAGGGTGAAGGAATGAATGAATGTTGATGGAGCTTTTATTCAGGTTTCATAATATCAGGCTGCACTGGAGAAGGCACTCAGCTTTGAGACTTCAGCAGTTATGACTTTAATCTGGAGCACTTCATCAGTTACATAACTCAATCCCCAAAACAGCACTTCCCTTTAAGTCTCAAGTGGATTTACACCTAATGTCAATAGGTCTTCTTGGTTATTTCCAAGTCTTGCTTGAAATTAGGTTTTCCTGAAATTGTTGACTTACGAAACCTCTGATGTATTTCTGTCTTTTTTATGCCTCAGCTCAGGCAACAGCCAGCGGCTAGAGACATAATGTTTTCAGGTTGTCCGTCCGTCCGTCCGTCCGTCTGTCCTATTCTTTCTAACACACTATCTGAAGAACACCTTGAGGGAATTTCTTTAAACTCGGTACAATTATTCAGTTGGACAAATTAACTGATTTTAATTTGGTCGCCAAAAGTCAAGGACACTGTGGCCTTAAGAAACATGTTTTTTGGTCTTGTGAACGCGATATCTCAGGAACTCCTTGAAGGAACTTTGGCACAAAGGTTTATTCGGATTTAAACATGATTTGATTAGATTTTGGTGATTAAAGGTCAAATGTTGAGTTCGCTGTGATGTCACAATGTCTTTCTTTGCCTTATGAATGTGATATCAGTTGGACAACCGGATTAACTGTTTAGATTTTGGTGGTTGAAGGTCAATGTTACAAAAGAAGAGCCAAGTTTTTGGCCTCTTGGACATGATGTCTCAAGTCTGCCTTCAGAAAATGTCTTCAAATTTTGATCAGTTGTCAATTGGACTCAAAGATAAACGGTCACAGTGACCTCATATGAATCAGGAAATAAAAAATATTTAGGCTGACAGTGGACTGGTTGATGGAGGCATCAGCTGGATGGTGGTAATTCTAGTTTCTGTAAGAAGTGCAACCACAAGTCTGAAGTATGAGTGTTGTGTTGTTTATGTCAGTCTACCAGCCAGGCCAGTATTCGTCATGTAGTTGTCAGCGAATGTTTGTTGTATTGCCATGCCGTCATTTCCATCCCACAGTTTCTGTCAATCAATCCTCAGTTTACACAGCTTCAGCACTGTGGCAGCTTGTGTTCACATTGTTCTGTTTTTAGTAACGTTGCACAAATCCCAACTTTTTAACAGAAGAGTCAAGCCGCAGCGCATTTTATCTTCTGCAGTGAAAAATGGAGAAACAGGCGATTATCAGAGGTGGGAGAGAAATCAGTCAAAGTGCTTTCCCTCTTAAAGAAGCAGCAGAATGACATGAAACAGAATGTAACAGTAAGATCAGCAGGGAGTCTACAAACCATTTGAAGTTCAGCTGTAGCTCTTTATTTTCTGTGGTCATTCATTTTTAAATAAACAGTATTCTAACTGAACTGCACTCCAGGGCCTGCTTCAGTCAGCAGACAAGGTCTTCTGCCATCACTTTAATCCATCTTCTCATTCTCCATGCAAGAGTGGAACGCGCTAAACGAAGGAATATCCAGAATGGCACGCTGTAAAGTGACTGCCAAGGCCCAACAGTCCCCTCAAACACATACTCATAGATATCAGTTCTCTTAACATGCCAGATTTTTTTATCATGAAGATTTCTGTAATGTTTTTTGAGAAATTCACAACAATAATGAAAGACACTCTATCACGCAATGTTACAGGAAAAAAATCTGGATCAGTCCCCTTAATCGAAACCACTCAAAAAGTCAATGGGTTCCTTCTTAGGCTACACCCCGCCCTTCCACCAAGTTCAGATAAAATCAGTTTGGTAATTTATGCTTATACAAAAAGACAAAGCCATTAAAACATCATCTGTTAACTGGAGCTAACAAATGCTCAAAACCTTGATATTTATGTGATATATGTTACTGTTTTGATCAGTTCAACAAGAAACCCTGTTTTATTTAACAGTCCTTTGTCTCCTCTGGCACTTTTGTTTATTCTCCCTCTTGTGTGCATGTCTGTAGAGTCTGTGGGCCTGCGCAGTAAACTCCTGAGGAAGGTGGAGGAACTAAAGAGTCATTCAGTCTGTTCAGGCATTCCTGACGAGTTCCTGTGTCCAATCACCAGAGAGCTGATGAAGGAGCCGGTCATTGCTGCTGGTACGTGAGCATCAGTCATTTTCCACTATAGTTCATGTGGGCGAATGAGATACAGACACCAATGTTTGTTTGTTTCTTCAGAATGTAGTAATTTGTGTACTTAAAGTATAGTGTGTACATTTCTCAACAGATGGCTACTCGTATGAAAGAGAGGCCATCGAGAGCTGGATCAACACCAAGAACCGCTCCAGCCCCATGACCAACCTCCCTTTACTGACGACTCTGCTCACCCCAAACCACACCCTGAAGATGGCGATTGGCCGCTGGAAGACCAGCCAGTGACATCTGACGGAGCTGCGCCCCAAACCATTCACTTAGAGCAGATATCATAGACTGTATTATAAAGATGGACGACATGACGGCTCCCTCAAAGTGAAGCCAGAGTCTCAATCACCTCCTGGTGGCTGGCTGCAATGTAGGTCATAATCCCTGCCTCCTCCATGTTATTGGTTGGAACATGGGTCATACTAAAAAGTCAAAAACCATTTCAAGTGAATCTTTCTCAAATATGGCTTCTATCAGTTTAGCTAATTCTGATATATGTTGTGTTCATTTTTCCAGTAATTTTGGTTTCGTTAAGTTATTTGCTGTTTTAAAAACAGGGTGAAAAATCTTGATTGACAGCTGAGCCTGACTGATAGGTCGAGCATGTGCATCGTGATCTCACGACCACGGCTTCATCCCCCGCAACTTTGCAGACTCTAGCTCCAAATGACGACATCAGCACAAGATGGCAGCGTTTGTTATCAGGATGATTTGGCTTCACTTCTGGATGGTGGGACTGGATGTGTCGTCCATCTTTACTGACAGCTTACAGGGATTCCACAGCCTTACAGGAGCAGGTGCGTTGATCCAGTTGAGATGTCTGCACACTGTGGTGGCATTCACTCATCGAGCTGCATTAAGCAAATCATGTTTGAAAACAGGTTTACTAAGCATTGGCTTTTGCACACGCCACAATTACTTTATATCTATCACAATTATTTTTTTATTTTTTATGGATCTTGGAAGGAAAATTACAGGGAATTAATATTTAAAGAGACGGGTTTTGTTGCTTTGTTAAATATTTATTTTGGCTTTAGACAAAATTTCTAATTTGCCCTTTCAGCTAAAAATAAATGAAGATCCACTTGAGGAATGATACAGAAATTATTTATTAATCCAAAAAAGATATTATTTTTTTGGTGCAGTTTTTATTATTCATGATTTTTCTGAATGACTGAATAACCAAACTGAGTAACTGCATGAAGCTACAGCGACAGTCAATCTGCAGTTAGATCAGCAGGACTAACACATTCCTTTGTGACGATAGAAATATTGCTTAATGCAGCTTTATTTAAAAAATAAATAAATACTGAAATCACCATCTGCAGTGACACAAGTAAGAATATTTTTTTACATGGCTTGAACATTGCAGCACCTCGCTTTATGCAAATTCTGTGGGAATATTGACTTCATCAGAGCAGTTTAGTGTTTTCTCCCCTGTGCAAATAAAAGCATTTCCGCTGCTTTCAGAAATAGCAATGTTCACTTTTCTATACAAGTAGTTTATTTTGGTGGTTTGGTTAAATTGATCAGTTTAGAGAAGTAAAGTTGTACCATCAAAGAACAAGAACTTGAGACCATCCTTACAAACTCTAAAGCTTAGGCAACATATTATTCTTTATACTGTGAAAGAAGCAGCTGTAGAACTGTTAGAATATTTTATTATACCACAATAATGTTGTGGTAACATTCTGTCATCCATAGTATGACTGAAAAGGGTATATGACAACTATGGACATACAGCAATGTAAAAAGTCTCTTAAGGTTTGTTTTCTTTTTAACCGTCGTAAACGCTGTCCGTTTCCAAATAAACTGATAAACACTCCATATGAATATGGTCTGCTATGCAAAAATAAATAACATATACTGGGAATATTGAAGCAGTCAAGTCAATATTATAATATGATAAGTTTCCATCTATGTCATGTACACAGTAGTTTTGTTATCAAATGTACCAAGAAAAAGAATCTCGAGTACACAAAGCCTGTAATGCTGACAGATAACCACTTACAAGGAAATATATCATCTGCAAATATAATATACACCGTACAAATATAAATGTTTTTTAAAAGACACTTGACAATAGAAATGGTCATATCCTGCAACTAACAGCATGAGGTTTTGTATATTCGTGCACAAAAGCTTTCTTTGACTCCTATATTTTACATAATAAATTAAAAGCTGAGACAATAGATGACAATTTTTTTTTTTAGATCCCTACTTAAGGTATGTCTGGTTTTCTTGAATACACAAGTGTAGCTGTAGACATGTAAGCAAAAGCGCAGTAGCCTGAGTTGAACACCGGTTCTAGATTGTAAATGCAGTTCAGCAGCATAACTCTACAAAACAGGCTCAGGGAACGGAGCTGTTCTCAAAGCAAGTCTCCCTCGCTACCTTATGTGGAGCATAGTTTGTGGAAAACAGCCTGTATCTGTGCTTTGATAGACTATGTTCAGACGTTAGACTCTATAAAGGAGCGTTTGGGTTTGATGGGAGCCATGTGCAGAGCTGGGTTGTCTCTGGTGAGGCTCGCCTGTCTGTGCCTCCCATCAGGAAAGCGGAGTTGGGAGGATGTGGAACCTCTTGCTTCTCGCTGGTGCAGCCTTTCCCCAAACTCGCGGCCCTGCTGCTGGCTGCTTACCTGACTTCCAGAGAGTTGCTCCTGGAAGGAGGCGCGCTTGAAGTCATTGTTCAACCCTTGGAACTCCATGACTGACATGCTGAAACTCTCCAACCCTCCTCCCTGCCCCTGACGGCCAGACGTCTGCTGGCCCTGAACTCGCACTGCTTTGTCCATTACTCCCATGAAAGGCCGGGGCTTTAGCTCAGGTTTTGTTTTGAAGCTACCACTGCTCTTGATGGGGCACGGGGCATCCAGCACCTGCTGCCTGCCGCCGTCTGACAGGTTCCCGCTGGAGGCCTGACTGGAGCTAGAGCCCCGTGAGCCTGCTGTGCCCCCTCCTCCGCTCTCCCTCCTGACCTCCATGCCGGATCCCAGAGCCAGGGCCAGGCCATCCAGAGCCACAGAGTGGGTGGAAAGTCTGTCGGATCCCCTGGAGAAGCTGGATGAGCGGGGCTGGTACATGTGCAGAGGTCCAGGTGGGGAGGAGCTGTTGGGGGACATGGGGTGATAGAGCTCAGTGGGGCTGTGTCCACAGTGTTCATTGACTGATCCTGGGCCGATGTCGATGCCCAGCACTGGCGCGGGCCTCAGGGAGGTGGAGATGTGTCTACCCGGCAGCGGACTGGAGGGGCCGCACAGAGAGAGAGGCCTGCCCCCAACTCTGCCCCCTGACTGGAGGGAGTGGCAATGGTGATGAGTCCTGCTGCCGTGGTTCTGGGTCTGCCTGTTGATAGCAGGAACTGGCTCAGGCAAGTCCACAAACAGCTGGTTCTGTACATACTCTTCCTGAGGGAAATGTGGCACCTGATCTGTTAAACCGAAGGCCACACCTCCAGGGAGAGTCCTGTTTGGAGCGTATGGATTCAGAGGCCAAAAATCTGGGCTTTTCCCACAGGGCAGGCTCACCTCATCACCATCCTCCTTCTCGTCCTCCTTCTCTGCATCAGCGTGCTCCTCGGGGACTTGCCTCTCGAGACTTCCCTGTGAATAGGCGTCAGTCTCTTCGTCTGTGCCTTGATGGTGGTGGGTGTACAGGTCCCTGTTGTAACCCTGCATCGAGTTGGTGCTGGTTGCCTTCTGATGATGTTTGCATTCCTCCTCTACCCGAGACAGCAGGCGTCGGATCTCCCGGTTGGATGGACAGAGTCGTGCTGCTTCATGGAGGTCTGCCAGCGCTGCAGCAAACTGCCTGGGGATAACAGAGGGAAAGAAAGGAACTTTAAGAGTACTTCTTTCACAGCGCCACAGAGTCCATTGCTGATTCCTGCAACACTTAATATTGAGCAAAAATGAAAAGTGATAAAATGAAATGAAATACTCCAGTTGATTTTGTTGTACCTGCTGCTCCTTTTGGCGCGTGCTCTGGCATAATGTGCTTCATAAGACCTGGGTTTGAGTTCCAAGGCCTTTGTTGCAAACTCCTCAGCTAAACCGAAATCCTGTGATTTCAGATGAGAAAAAGTATTTTTAGTATTTAATATTAAAGGTTCAGGGTGTAGAATTTAGTGACATCTTGTGGTGAAGTTGCATGTTGCAGCTGAATGCCCCTCATCACACCCTCTCCTTCCAAACATGAAAGAGAACCTGTGGCAGCCTTCAGTTGCCATAAAAACTCAAAAGGTGTTTAGTTTGTCCGGTCTGGGCTACTGTTAAAAAAACAAACATGGCAGCCTCCGCAGAGAGGACCCGCTCCTGATGTAAATATAAAGTATGTAAATATAAAGGTTCCATTCTAAGGTAAAGAAAGAAATTGGTATAATTTAGATGAAACACACTAGTGAAAACATCACTAGCATTATTTTATATTCAGTATTTGCCAATAGATTCCTTTCACCTAAATCTTACACACTTTACCGTTAAACCTTAAACAGAGCACACATAGAAAAACAAACCCTGAGGAAAAACTGGGGAATGTTTGTCCTGTAGAAACAAATCTGTGACTGTGATTTCCGTCTCCTTTATTGTATGGATCTAAAGATCGAAGCTTGTTTAATAAAACAGACGTCACGTGGCGATCCCTCCAGGAGGAGGAAGAGGGGGACAGAAACAGACAGAGCTCCTGCAGGTTTTTACTGCTCATCATCATCATCATCATCATCATCGCTCTCAGGTGAATATTTAATGACACAAACACGGTGCTTCTGTCCTTGAGAGCGAGGTCAAAATGGCAGCCTCTGATGTGAGATTGTGAACATTGCTGCTGAATGTTTAATGATGGTATCATGTAGTCTGTGCTGGGTTGCTGCCTGCGTTCTGATATGATACGTGGATTTATCCAGAGCGCTCTCACGTCCACTGTAAATAACCCCCACCCCCCCGCAGAGACACATAGAAGGTATGCGCTTGGCCTTATCACATCGAATTATCTGCTCCATTATTCATCAGCCACAGTGACCCCAAGGATGGCATTTTTACACAGTCTGTTAGGACGTCTGTCATCACCAGGGTGGGTTCCAAACCTGGCTGCGGGCCACACACATCTATCTCTGCACTAACGGCACCGTTATTCATTATGTCACCACCTGCTTCCAGGTCTCACACCACCGTCTCTCTGTTTACCAGGCAGACATGAAAAGCAAGAGGTATTTCCACAGTGAGCTGTACGGGTGCTGATTTCATCTTTTTTTCATGTTGATTCAGATAAATTATAAATCTTAAGGAACCATCCACCTTGCCTTGCCAGCCCTCGGTGTCTAATAAACTGGCTGCTGTTAAATAGTGCATGAACTGTTTGATGCCGCTGTGGGAACTCACGTTGGTTTTCCTGCGGCAGCGGGAGAGGTTGAGATAAAGGGAGACCCGCAGCTCCTTCAGCCCTTTCAGCTCCTCTCCTTGACCCTCACGTGGCAACTTCCTCAGGGCGTACTGGTACCGCTGGCCCGCCTCCTTCATACGTCCCTTCTGGGAAACACACAAGAGGTGGAGAAATAAAACGGACAGCAAGAGGGAAGGGACAGTTTTTGATTAATCCACAGGATCATATAAGTTTATTCAAATTGAAGGCTGCAAGGTGTGCCACACCCTCACAGCACCAGCACACTGTTCATAACATTCATCCTCACCTACCTTGTAAAGCATGTTCCCTTCCTCCATCAGCTTCTGCAGCAGGATGAGGAGAATGTCTGGTTTGGAAGAAGCCATAGCCCACGTAGCATGACCTGATGGAGTGGCACAAATATTTGTCTTAATATCATCTGGCTCGGCTTGCCTCTTTTACTTTGTGTCTTACATAAATCATGTACCTGATCGATCATGCAGAGACGTTCTGTAGCCTTTCGGTTAATGAAGGAGAGCGACCGAAGAGGGGGAGGTGGGGAGAGAGAGACAGAGAGAGAGGTGAAGAGAGAGTTAGAGCGGTGGATGTAAAACTGCAGGTGCTGCAGAATAAACAGTAACAATATACTATATGGAAGTAGACAAATATACACATGCAGAGTGTGCAGATGCAAAGTGTAGCATGATACAAATCAATCCATATGAGCTGAGTCTTCATTTATTCAGATACTGTGTGAATACACTCTAGAGAAGCTATTCAACAACTACTAATGCCACAAGCTGTCCTGCAGTTTGTGGAGCTGTTAAACTGTGTCGTATAATGTTAAATGTTTGGAATATAAAATGTAATTTACTGCAGGGCTGCTGTGATACTGTTTGTACCTGCTTTGGATCCTTTCTTAAGCAGCGAGGCCACCAGGGCCGGGTTCTGGCAGCCGGTCGCCCGGTCTGATCCTCTGGTGCTGTTGTCTCTCTCCAGCACCGCTCCGTGTTCCACCAGGCAATGCACCTGAACACACATGGAACAATAACAACATTATGCAGCGGTGAAAAGGAAAAGGAAGTGTTTTAATCATTTGTTGATTAGACTCCGAACGCTTGACAACAATAACAGATCCTGATGGTTTTGATCATCGGACACTTTTAAACCAGCTCCCGCCGATTATTAGAAATAATCCAAAATGATCATCACAATATTTGTCTAAAACAGATTAAAATGCATTTTCATGTCATAAGATAATTATATCTTTTACTTTGCTTATCTTTCAATAGCTGTGATTTTTTTTTACATTATCAACATGATCGAGGTCGGCACAGGGGTAGTGGTGATTAGCACCATCTCACAGTGCCTCACAGCAAGAAGGTTTCCGGTCTGAATCCCGGTTCTGTGTGGAGTTTGCATGTTCTGCCTGTAATTGCGTGGTTTTTCTCACACAGTCCAAAGACATGTGGATTGCAGTACATTGGAGACTCTGAATGTAGTGTAGGTGTAAATGTGAATGCTTGTTTGTCTCTGTATGTCAGCTGGGATTGGCTCCAGCTCCCCACACGACCCTCACATGGATCCGCTGATGAATATGATGAATGGATGAATAAAACATGATCAAACATCTAAATAACAGCACGAAACCCACTGTGTCTGCATCCCCGTTCAGAGCAGCCAGATCGAGAGGCGTCCGCCCCTGTCTGTCCGGCTGGTTCAGGTCTGCGCCGGCCTCCACCAGAAGCTGCACCGCACCTTTCTGTCCCTTCAGGCAGGCCCAGCTCAGGGCAGTCAGCCCCTCCTGATCAGCGGCGGACAAAGACGCCCCTGGGACCACAAAACAACACAAATATGGTTCTGCAATTCAAGTGCATTCATCAAACATACTTGGACATCCCTGGTGACAGGGGGGGGGGCTCTCACCCTTTGACAGCAGGAGTTCAACAGTGCCTGTGTGGCCCTCGGAGGCAGCCAGCATCAGTGCAGTGCGCCCCTGCTTGTCACTGACATTGATGTCTGCGCTTTGCTTCAGCAACAACTCTGCAACCTTTGAAGAAGAGGAAGATTATTCCAAAAGAAATAGAAAACAAAAAAGACAGAACAGATAAAACGCACTCAGACTCCTCCCCACCTGTGTGTGTCCGTGTTTGGAGGCACTGAGCAGTGGGACCATTCCTCTGCGGTTTGGTATCTCCAGCCCTGCCCCCTGCTCCACGAGGAGCACACATATCTCCATCCTCCCTCTCCCTGCTGCCGCGCTCAGCACTGACAGGGGGTCGGCATCGAGATGAGACGACGAGGCGGAGGAGAATATGTAATTGACACATTTAGGGGAGAAGAAGAAGCAGGAGTGAGGAGCAGAGAGAAAATCATGACAGCGTATTTCCATCTAGTCGAATCCAACACAGATGTTGTATTATCTGTTGACATTTAACACAGTTTCT